AGCTAAAAGTCAAAAATTAAGGAACTATCAGAGGATGAAGATAAAAACCAGATTGTTATGGATTGTGTTTTGCCACCTCAAAATTCAAAGGTTGAACCCCTAATCCTCAATGTGACTATATGTGGAGATAGGGCTCTTAAAAAGGTAATGAAGGTTAAATGAAGCCATAAGGCTGGAGCCCTAATCCAGTATGACTGGTGTCTGATAAGAAGAAATAGAGGCCAGGCACCATGGCTCAAGCCTGTAATCCCAGCACCTTGGGAGGCCAAGGCAGGAGGATCACTTGAGATCTGGAGTTGGGCAACATAGACTTTGTCTCTACAAAAAAATTTAAAAATTAGCCAGGCATGGTAGCACGAGCCTATGGTCCCAGCTACTCAAGAGGCTAAAGAAGGGGGATCATTTGAGTTCGAGACTGCAGTGAGCTATAATTTCACCACGATCCGTGCTGGTTGACGAGTAAGAACTTGTCTCTACAAAAAAAAAAAAAAGAAAAGAGTCACCAAAGGTGCACATGCACAGAGGAAAGGCCATGTCAGGACACGGCGAGAAGGTGGTCACATGCAACCAAGGGGAGAGGCCTCAGGAGACAGCAGCCCTTGATCTTAGATCTTAGATCTTAGACTTGATCTTAGACTTGTAGGCTCTGGAAGTGGTGAGAAAGCAAATTTCTGTTGTTTAAGCCACCCAGTCTGCAGTGTTTTGTTTTGCAGCCCTAGCACACTAGTGCACAGAGCATGGAAGACATATGACTTACCAAGGAATTTAGAATTTAAACTGTAACCAATGAGGAGTATTCGGGTTGTACGCAGTGGAATTAACTGCATGAGATTGTTGGGGTAGGAAGATGATTATGAGAGTTGTACCCAGGAACTTTGGAGCAAGGAGAGAGTAGAGGCAGAGAGACAGTGAGGAGGCATTGTAAGATATAAATGAGACACGATGGGGGCTTGAACAAAGGCAGTTGGACAGACAAAAAAATGATAAGAAAGCAGGATCAGCAGAATTTATTGACCAGGTGGGTATGGGAGGTAAGAGAGGAAGCAATACCAAATTCTTGGACTCACCTATTAGGAGACCAGAAACCCCTTGTTTAAGCCAGTTTGAACTGGATTTTCCTGTTACCTGCCATATAAAGATACAGATAATCAGGTGGGCAGTAGAAGCCATTAACCAAGATATGCAAGGCAAAACAAGGGGCTGGTTTGAAAGCAGAAATGTTTTGTCCCAAACTTGGACAATTCCACATCTTTGCCTGAGGTTGATCCTTGCGTCTGGAATAACCCCTCCCCACATTTGTGGGCCTGCTGAAAAAGTCCTACCAACACTCTAAGGCTCTACTTTCTTTCTTTTTCTTTTTTTTTTGAGACAGAGTCTCACTTTGTTGCCCAGGCTAGAGTGAGGTGCCATGGCGTCAGCCTAGCTCACAGCAACCTCAGACTCCTGGCTCAAGCAATCCTGCTGCCTCAGCCTCCCAAGTAGCTGGGACTACAGGCATGCGCCACCATGCCCGGCTAGTTTTTTTTTTTCTATATGTATTAGTTGGCCAATTAATTTCTTTCTATTATAGTAGAGATGCTGTCTCGCTCTTGCTCAGGCTGGTTTCGAACTCCTGACCTGGAGCAATCCGCCCGCCTCAGCCTCCCAGAGTGCTAGGATTACAGGCGTGAGCCACCGCGCCCGGCCGGCTCTACTTTTTTGTTTTTGTTTTTTGCAGTGTGATCCTGTTGTATCTAAGGCCCTATTGTGATGGTCCTTCCTCTGAAGCCAGTGTAAGAGTGTAAACCCCTCTTATGTCCAGGTCAGGATTCACCATGCCTTGTGAACCTCCATGACATTTTGGACACGGCTCTATCATCACTTTTTTTTTTTTTTTGAGACAGGGTCTTGCTCTGTTGCCCGGGCTGGAGTGTGATGATAACTCAGAGCAACCTCAAATTCCTAGGCTCAAGTGATCTTCCTGCCTCAGCCTCCCAAGTAGCTAGGACTACAGGCACGTGCCACCATACCTGACTGATTTTTTTCTATAATATTTTTTATAGGGAGGACAGGGTCTTGCTCTTGCTCACACTGGTCTTGAACTCCTGACCTCAAGTGATCTTCCTGCCTCAGCCTCCCAGAGTGCTGGGATTACAGGCATGAGCTCGCAGTCTCCATCATGGCTTTTATCAGCTCCTGTTACTATGTCCTCCCTGTACGCGCTGCCTGACTTTAACCATCCAGACACTTCATACTCACCTTTGCATCAGTCTCTGCAGCCCCAGGGCATCTACTAGGCACCTAAACATCTGGATGAGTGAAAGACCACTGTCCTCCACTATTTTCTTGTCAAAATAATGAATCCTCTCCCTACCCCACCCCCTTTGGACTGAGATAAACTCTTGCTATCAGCCCCTGGATTGAACTATATAATAAATAGCCCCCCAAATATAAAAATATAGGAATGGTAGGAAAAGGTATTTTGATGGAAGTGAAAACACACAAGAAGAAAAGTTGGATTAACAAGTACTTGCATTATAATGATGCAATATGTTTACATGTGTCGGCTTTCATAGATACTGCCAATAGTTTTCCAAAGTGGTCGCACCATTTCACACTTCCATGAGGGAGTTCCACTTGATTCACAGGCTTGCCAACGCTTTTCTGTCCTTTTCTTTTTAGCCATTCTGGTGGGCGGTGCTGCGTTTTCGTTATAATTTGCATTTTCTTCATGACTAAAGAAGTTGGCAATGTTTTAATGAGTTCATTTTCTCTGATCTTTTTTCTCAGCTTTTTATTTCAAAAATTTTCACATACAGAAAAGTTGAAAGAATTGTATAATGAACACTCATATACCGAGTACCTAGATTAAAACAAATTGTTAACCTTTTGCTAATTGGCTTTGTGTGTAATCGTTTTGCTAATCCACTGCAAAGTAGGTTGTAATCATGGTGACATGTGACGCCTAATTACACCAGGAAGTATATCTTAGAAATAGACATTTTTCTACATAGTCTCAAAACCATGATCATATCTAATCCAATTAATAGTAATTTCCTAAAACTATTACCAAATAGTCTGTATTGAAGTCTTCCCTGTTGTCCCCAAAATATTTGTAATCTACTTTTTTGCAACCAGAAGTGGATCAAGGCTGAATCATTGCATTTGATTTTTTTTTATTTTGATTTTTTATAGCCCTTTAAACACACCCACCATTTTTCTTACCCCCACCCACAACGTTGACTTTTTGAATAGCCATACTCTGTTCTAGTTGTCTATATAAAGAAATTTTTTTAAAAAACACTTCAAAACTATAGTGGCTCGAAACAACCATTTTATTATATTTCACAATTTTGTGGATCATGAATTCAGGCAGAACCCAATCAAGTAATTCCCTCTGTTTCACGTAACATTGACAAAGATCACTTGGTGATGTTCAGTTGTCAGATGGACTTCTCTGGAAGGCCCAACATGGCATCAGCACTCTCATGCCCGACACCTTGGTTGGGATGGCAGGAAGGCTAGGATCAGCTGGGACTGTCCACCAGAACATGCCCATATAGCTCTCCAGTGTGGTGGCCTTAGAGGAGTCGTTTTTTCATTTAATGACTCCTGGCTCTGAGTACAAGTGTTTTCAGGAACAGGACAGGAGCTGCATTGTCTTTTGTGACCTAGCATCAGGAGCACATAACATCACTTCCATCATGCTCTGTGGTTTGAAGCAGTCACAAAGCCACCCAGTTTCAAAGAATTTGCAGCTATGTTTTGAAAACTGTCATGAGTCTATCTGCCCTCTGGCCACAAATCATTTGCCTTTCTCTCACATGCAAAATACACACCCTTTCCCAAGACTCCTCCAAAGTCTTGTCCCACCATGTCACCGGGCTCAGTCTCTGAGATATGCCCTTCTTTCTCTTGGGTTCCCTGAGAAGCTGCTGTCTGACCACAGTCTTGGGAGTCTCAGAAGCATTGGTGAGAGGAGCCATGAGCCTTTAGATCAGGGGTCCTCAGACTTTTTAAACAGGGGGCCAGTTCACTGTCCCTCAGACTGTCGGAGAGTGCACACTGTAGGCCCGGGACAAGTCAACTGCTAAGCAGGACAGGCAGCGGCGGCAAAAACACCCGGAGGGCTGGATAAATGTGCTAGGTGGCCCACATGTGGTCCGTGGGCCTTAGTTTGAGGATGCCTGCGTTCAGATGCTTAGAGAGCTTCTGGTATAACTGAGAGGGCACAAAGCACCATCTTAAGTCTTTCTTAGGTCACAAACAAGGGTCTTAGAGTTATACACCAGATTCCCTGAGACACTATTGTACTGGCAGTGCCCTTGTGGAATGCCTCACATTCTGATTTTGTCTGCTTGTTTCCTCTTGGCATCATTTAACTTTTTCTCAAATCCTCCTCCTTGACTTCCAGATTACCTGTAAAACTAGGCCTAGAGGTTTGATTGGATTCAGGTTGAATATTTTGGCAAGAATAATTCGTAGGTGATTCATTATACGTTGTAACTGCATGATCTTACAGACACATCCTGTCAAGTTGTCCTACTACTAATATGTTAGGTGTCATCACTTCCACATGGTGGTGACCTCAGATATCTCCATTGTAAAAGTACAGTTTCCTCCTTGTGATTACCATGACATCTGTGGGGTAGTACTATGAAAAATATGAAAAGCTTCACGAATTCATGTCATCCTGGTGCAGGGGAGGTGCTAATCATCCTGGCATCCTTCCAGTTTTCCTTTGCACGATGCATGCAAGTCCTGACCTGGCTCTTGTGAATATAGACCTTCCACCTCTTGTCCCAGTACCAGCACCTGCTCCTGGTATCTGTTAAATAAGCTTAGAATATCCTTGAACTGCTCCCATTTCCTTGGTAGTATTAATAGTTTTTGCCCACCTTGGTTAAGCTGCGTTTGCCATTGCTCCAGATTTTCTATCAGTCGGCTCCCATCTGCTTTCTGTTCTACAGAAGTTCCTGTATATTTCTGGTCCTCTTCATCATTTTCCTGTGTTTTTATAGGTTTCATGTGTACATATGAAATACCCACAGAGAGATAGAACATGTCGTTCAAAGAGATTTGAAGCAGGAAACAGGAAGGTAGGTGTGCATCGCGGTGTTTGGTCAAGCATCTGTAGCCAGCCTTGCTCTAGGGCAACAGTAAAGAAGTGTCACGTATATCAAATCACCACATTGTCCCCCATAAATATATACAATCATTATTCACCCATTACAAATAAAAAATAAACTTAAAAATCATATCAGATGCTATAAGATGGAAACCAGATTGTTATGAACTGTACTGGGGCCCCCATCAAAATTCATAGTTTGAGGCCCTACTTTCTGATGTGACTATATTTGGAGATAGGGCCCTTAGGAAGGTAATTAAGGTTAAATGAGGTTTTAAAGGTAGAGCCCAATCCAATATGACTGGTATCTTATAAGAAAGATAGAAAGAGACACCAAAGGTGCATAGGCACAGAAGAAAGGGCCTGTGAGGACACAGCCAGGAGACGGCCATCTGCAAGCCAAGGAGAGAGGACTCAGGAGAAACCACCTCTGCTTGGTCAGGTTGGATTAACAAGTACCTCTATTATAATAATGCACTAGCTGCTTCTCTGCAACTTATGAGAGTGACACACACACATTAAGGAAAAATCTCTGAATATATGAGATGGGTTTACGATTCCTGCCGAAGACTGTGGGAAGAATCTAAAATTGGCACTACCCACACAGAAGGTCGCATTGTGCCCATCAATTTATTTTGATCTCAGGGAAGGCGTTTTGGAGCAGTGCTCAAGAAATAACTCAACCAAAAGAACATTTAAATTATGTAAAAATGAACTCCAGTTCATTTAAATCCATTATCTTTACATAATAAAATTTCAATCATAGTACTGTAATTTCAAAACACCCCAGCCCCCCCAAAAAACTTTAATAATTTGATCTCATAGGAGATAAATTCTACCTGAACTTTTGCAGGAAAAAGTTGGATTGGAGAACAAGAACTTATCACCTTCAAGTACATTTAGGAACTTGAATTAGAGAGGAGACAAGTATAGCCCAAGCCTAGACCAACGTTGATAATCAGTAACGACAGATATTTAACAAATGTTCCTTGAGTGCTTGCTATGCCAGGTGTGGTTTAGGTGCTGAGCATACAGCAGTAAACAACCTTCCTTGGATAATGATGATAAGAAGGACATTTATTGAGCCTGTACTGTGGGCCAGGCTCTGAGTTCAGTGCTGTGTATACAGTTGACCCTTGAACAACATGGGTTTGAATTACATGAATCCGCTTGTATGTGGAATTGTTTTTAATAAATGTTACATTGATGGCTGGGTGTGGTGACTCATGCCTGTAATCCTAGCACTTTGGGAGGACAAGGCAGGAGGATCACTTCAGGCCAGGAATTAGAGACCAGACTGGGCAGCATAGCAAGACCCCATCTCTCCCCTGACCCCCTAAAAAATTAGCCAGGTGTGGTGGTATGTGCCTATGATCCCAGCTACAGAGGAGGCTAGGGTGGGAGGATCACTTGAGCTCAGAAGTGCAGGGCTACAGTGAGCCATGGCCACTGCACTCCAGCCTGGGTGACAGAATGAGACTCTGTCTCTAAAAAAGGAAAAAAATTTACACTGAGTGTATCCACTTCTCCTGCCTTCCCTCTACCTATTCTGCCTCTGCCACCCCTGAGACAGCAAGACCAACCCCTCTCCTATTCCTCTTCCTCCTCAATGTGAAGATGAGCATAAAAACATTTATGATGATCCACTTCCCCTTAATGAATAGTAAATATATTTTCTCTTAAGATTTTTTCTTTAGCTTGCTTTATTGTAAGAATACAGTATATAATATATATGCCATTCAAAATATTTGCTAATCAACTGTTTATGTTCTCAGTAAGGGTTCTGGTCAGCAGTGGGCTGTTAGTAGTTGAGTTTTGGGGGAGTCAACAGTTTATATGCAGATTTTTGACTGTGCAGAGTCAGCGCCCCTACCCTTCCTCAGTGTTGAAGTGTCAACTATATATTGGCTCCTTTGTTCCACAACTCTGCGAGCTACTGTGATCATCACCATTCCAAGAGGTATCTTGCCCAGGGTCACAAAGCCAACTAAAATGATGGAAGTTGGACTCTACCCAGGCCTGACAGATTCCTATTTGAGTAGAAATCACTGCTGGCAATGTTTCATAGGCAAGGAACTCAGCCACTTTAAAATGCTTTCATTCTATTTGCTGAAGCATCCCATTTTTATAGTTTGTATAAAGGTAAAATTCAGTACAGTTCTGCCAAAACTGCAACAAAACCTAAATTCGTGGAGCCCAATCAATGGGCTTTCATCATGGCCTTGTTGATGACTTAAGCTCACAGATCTAGAGAATTATATGTGACTTAGCCTGTCCCTTGGCTAAGCTAACTCTTCCTTTACCACTTGATCTTAGTTCTTTCATTACTTCACTGCTACATTTTGTAACCGTTGTAATATCTGCATATCACCTGTACTATTATTTACGTAAAACTTTTATTTGATGTTTTAAAGGAAATTTAATATCATGGCTATAAATAAAGAGCCACTGGTTCATTCAATAATATTTATGAAGTGCCTACCTACACTGGGCAGCAGGGATACAGAAGTGAGAAACAGACTTCAAAGAATCCCCACCTTAATGGTGCTAATGTTCTAGTAGGGATGACAGACAAAAAACATGATAAATGAGTGAAATAAATAGTACATTACAGAGTTATCAGTCATGAAGAGAAAAGGGGGATGTCTTAGTCCATTTTGTGCTGTTATAACAGAATATCTGAGACTGCATCATTTATAAAGAACAAAAATTGATTCTCTCACTGTTCTAGAGGCCGGAAAGTCCAAGATCAAGGTGCTGGCATCTGTTAAGGGCCTTTTTGCTGTGTCCTCACATGGCAGAAATCAGAAGGGCCAAAAAAAGAGGGCAAATTCTGCATGCTCACATGGCAGAGGAACAGAAGAGGGAGAACCCACTCCCCAAAGTCCTTTTTATAGCGGCATTTATCCATTTACGATGGTGGAGCCCTCAGTATCTAAACACCTTCCATTAGGCTCCCCATCTCAACACTGCTGCTTGGGGGATTAAGTTTCCAACACATGAATTTTGGGGACACACTCAAACCATAGCAGGGGCATATCAAGTGTGAGTGGAGAATAGTTAAAATTTTAGATAGGGTGGCCAGAGAAGGCCTCATTGAGACAGTGACTTTTGAGTGAAGACGTGAAAGGGACCAGCCATGTAGGAATCCAAGAGAAAGGCAATTTAGATACTGGAACAGACAGTGCAGAGTCCTGAGGAGCAAGTGTGTCTGGCGTGTTTAAGGAACAACAAGGAGGTCATGGGCTGAAACAAGGAGAATAGGCCAGGCATGGTGACTCCTGCCTATAATCCTCCCACTGTGGGGAGCTGAGGAGGGAGGATCGCTTGAGGTCAGGGGATCAAGACCAGCCTGAGCAACATAAAAAGACCCTGTCTCTACAAAAAATAGAAAAAATTAGCTGGGTGTAGTGGCACATGCCTGTAGTCCCAGCTACTCGGGAGGCTGAGGCAGGAGGGTGGCTTGAGCCCAGGAGTTTGAAGTTGCCATAAGCTAGGCTGATGCCACGGCATTCTAGCCTGGGCAACAGAGTGAGACTCTGTCTCAAACATGAATGAATGAATGAATGAATGAATGAATGAATGAAACAAAGAGCACTGATAGAAAGCTAATGCACAAATCCAAACAGGAGATTATGGTGACTTGGACCAGAGGATTGACAAATGGCCAGATGCTAGAAATACGAAGGTGGAGTCAGCATTTGCTGATGGGCCAGTTATAGAGTGTAAGGGTTCTGGAAAGGGATCAAGGAAAACCCTGAAACTTTTGGCCCAAGCAAGTACCTGAAAGGATGGAGTCCAGTACATTTCATGATTCTTTCTTCTCCAGCCCTCTGTAGGTCCTCCCTACCCCCAGGATTTGGATTTCTGTCACTTGCATCCCAACCTCCCCACTGAATGAAGGAAATGTAGAGAGCCCTGGTATTCAAAAGAACAGATCTAAAGCTGCTTATGGTTTTGCTCATCTAAAGCCTGTGGGTGCTTCTGATACAAGCTCACACAGCTCCTGTCCTGTTCTCCAGAACACTTGTGCTATGTTCTAAAACACTGTACTTCTGTGATTCTGCAATCTTGGAATGATTCCATTGGAAAAACTCTATTTTTCAGCAGATACCTTTCAGGATACTGAAATTCTGTATATTGTAAATATATTGTATATACTCTTTCAGCATATTGCAAGTATGCTGAAATTCTGTTTAGTGTCATCTGGTACATCGATTGGTTGGCCAGGTGCTAAGGAACATGGCTTTCTTGGAGAAGAGAAGTACTCCTGGCTCTTAGAAGTGAAGCTAACAGATATATATTTGATAAACCATGTGCCACTTTTGTCAACTGAATCAATGCAGTGTAGCATCATTATAAGCTCAAGCTTTCATTAGTTTCACTTTTTCTGGCTTATTCAGTTGTTTAAGTTGTTAAGTTGTTAAGACATTCAGTTGTTAAGACATTATTTTAAATAAAGCGACAATATACATGCAATGAATGATAGTGTCATCATGAGCCAAGACATTAAATAATAAAGACAAGTCAATATCATTTTATCTTAAACACTGGCCTATTACTTTAGTATTAAAATAATAGTGGTATTTGTGTTTAGAGCCAATATTCTGGTCTCTTTAGAAAAATAAGGCCTTTCTTTGGTATCAGTAAACCATTAAGCATCTATCTTAAATTGTTTCAACATTAAAAAAAATAGCTTACTGTCCTCAGCAGTAATTAATGCATTGCCTTCAATTAGACAAATTGTATTTCTGTCCCAAACATTATCCCGTACCATACATCCATTTCATCAAATTCTAAATTATCACCATGGACTATATTTGCTTTTATATTGGATTGTATAGCAAACTGAACACTTAAAATATGATAAAGGGAAAAAAAACCTTCATATAACTACCTCTAAATATAATAGATGCCTCCTAACTTAGGAGTTAGGAGTTAGGAGCCTGGTTTCCCTACTGGAGGTTTCCC